AAAGAAATTGAGGTATATATACACAATGGAATACTACGTGGCAATGAGAAAGAGTGAAATATGGCCTTTTATAGCAATGTGGATGGAACTGGATAGTGTGATGCTAAGTGAAATAAGTCATACAGAGAAAGACAGATACCCTATGTTTTCACTCATATGTGGATCCTGAGAAACTCAACAGAAGACCAGCAGGGAGGAGAAGGGGGGAAAAAAAGTTACAGAGAGGGAAGGAGGCAAACCATAAGAGACTCTTAAATACTGAGAATAAAGAGAGGGTTGATGGGGGCGTAGGGTGGAGGGGAAAGTGGGTGATGGGCATTGAGGAGGGCACCTGTTGGGATGAGCACTAGGTGTTGTATGGAAACCAATCTGACAATGAATTTCATATTAAAAACAAAACACCAACAACAACATGGGGAAGCCACCAGGTACAAAGTCCCCATCTTGCCCACCTCTACCCAAATTTATTCACAATGAACTACAACCTCGCCATTTTCCCTTTCACTATCATAGATGTGGATTTCCTTCTTTTGAAATGTTGGTATAACATCCACATACAGCAGAAATTCTCAGTGCGGGGTCCCCAGACCAGCACTGCCAGAAAGCATGCTAGAAATAGTAACTCATCCTGCCCCAGACCTACAGAACCAGAAACCCCGGGCTGGCAGCAGCAATCACAGTATAACAAACCGTGAGGTGCATTAACGCTTGAGACCCTCTGCAGCACAGCATCAAGTAAGCATTTGGATTCATGAGGCTGAAGCTCAGGAGGGGCTAGAGGTATTAACTAAGGAGCCACTGGCTTATGCCACACCAGGGGCCTAGGTAAGATCCCCTAGGGATATCTTAGAGAATGAGCAGAAAGACTACAGAATACAAACATTCAGAGGAACAACACAGGGAGTCAGCAACACGGGTTGAGAACTCACACCAGTGAACAGGGAGGATAACAAGAAAGATGAGGATGTTATGAAAACAACAGAAGCTATTCCAGGATGACCACTGGTTCCTTAGAAACCAAAGCAAAGGACCATCAATTTTGAGTCCTTACCTTACTTGCCCTTTCTTCAATATTTTATTCCTTTTTTATTTTAAAATAAGCTCAGACTCACACTTTGAAGTAACTTTAAAGTAACACTTTAAAGTCACTAAAGTAAAGTGACTGTCAAACTTGGGTGTGCATAAGAACTGCTAAATAAATGTCATTTTAGTTTCTAAATTTCAATTCAATAAGGAAAGTCTACTTACACAGAACACTGTAAGGTGCTTCAAAGGAGCACCCTAACTGAAAGACGGGGGAATCCCCAAGAGCCCTCAGAAATACATGTTTATTTTGTCAGCCCTAACTTTTAAGCAATATTTTTTGCCAAATAAGCATGTTTAACATTTGTGTTTGCGTATTTACTGCTATAAGATCCAAATGTGTGACCCATTTTTTAAGCTCACCAAGAATATTATTGCTCAGAAAAATAAAATGTTTAGAAGGGGCGCCTGGGTGGCGCAGTCGGTTAAGCGTCCGACTTCAGCCAGGTCACGATCTTGCGGTCTGTGTGTTCGAGCCCCGTGTCAGGCTCTGGGCTGATGGCTCAGAGCCTGGAGGCTGTTTCCGATTCTGTGTCTCCCTCTCTCTCTGCCCCTCCCCCGTTCATGCTCTGTCTCTCTCTGTCCCAAAAATAAATAAAAAACGTTGAAAAAAAAAAGAAAAAAAAAAAAAAAAAAAAAAAAAGAAAAAGAAAATGTTTAAATTGCAGTCTAATCCACAACACTAGAGAAGTACTCCAATAAAGCAAAATTCTAATCCTTCACCCTACACTAAAGGGTTCGTTATATTCTGTATACTAACGTAATTTCTTAAATCCCAACCCAAACACAGTATGAATGTATTGTCTGATGTGCTACACATGGAAAGAGCTAGAGATTTAAAAATACAGCAAATCATCCCCAGTCAACTAAATACCTCTAATAAGAAAGAGAGAAGGCACACTGGTTAATTTAATGGCTCTACCTGTTAGTGTTTTTGATATTTTGGTCCAAAGAGTCAAAAAAGAAGGGTGCCTGGGTGGCCCAATCAGTTAAGCATCTGACTCTTGACCTTGGCTCAGGTGATGATTTCTTGGTCCCGGAGATCGAGCCCTCATTGGGCTCCGTGCTGTGACTGCAGAATCCTTTCAGGATTCTCTCTCTCAATAAATAAATAAATTAATTAATTAATTAATTTAAAAAAATTGTTTTAATTTAAATTTTTTTTTTTTTAAATTAAAAAAAGAGCAGAGTCAATAGCTGAAGATCTCTCTTCCACTTCATCTCTCCAAACTCTCCGAAACCTTGACTCTTGTCAAGCTTTTCACTCCGGTCAAGTCATTAAAGATTGCCAATTCTGTCTGACAGATGTTGCCCAATCCTGCCCCCTGCACAGTTACTTTAATTTGGACCCCGGTCAAGTCTACTAACCTGTCATGGGAAAGTCACCTTTCCTGCCTGCTCTCTTCTTCCATTTCCCCCACCCCGAGGATAGTAACTTTTCCTTGCTTTGTATATCCACTGAAACCACTGCATACCTCTATTCTAGCATTTAATATCTGACTTATGTGCCCACCTGTGAAGTCTAGGCTCCTGAGCAAAGGACCACTTTTCATTACCTCAATAACCCCAGTGGCTGGGACAGATACACAGGACAACTTTGCAGATGTTTGCTTACTGAATAGGCCAAAGTTCTCACTTTTCTCTCTCCCTGCCCATTCTCCATGTTGCTGCCACACCTCTTCTGCCAAAAGTAAACCCAAACACGTCCCACTCCTTATATGATCCCCAGAAGAGCTAAGGTTCAGGACCATCAGAGGGGCAGCCCCTTTAAAGTCCGACCCCAAATTCTCTGCTGTAGCTCATCCCCTGGCACTACAACTACTCTACACTAACTATTCTCCCAGCATATTTTCAGGGCTGTGCTCAGACTACATCCTGTGCATAAATTCTGTCTCACAGGATTTTCCCTCCGTCTAAAAACGCCCTGCTCAGAAATCACCTCTGGGAAATCTTCCTAAATTTCCCCAGGCAGAAGAAACTTCTCTCCCTGTGCTACCAAAGCAAAGTTAACACAGCTTTATTCTGGTCCTTAGTACACACACTTTTCTAATGATACTTTTGTTTGCTCTCAGTAGAAAGCAAGACTGTTGTGGTCATTTCCAGTACCTTACACACTGCCTGGAAGCAGTGATATGGTACACCGGAAAGATCTTGAATTTTCCCACTGTTCAAAAACTGGCGCTGCCATCTTTCAACCGTACAGCTTCGGGCAAGTCACCATAAAGCTTCTCCAAGCCTCGCCTCCTCTTCTGTAAAATGAGATTCTGCACGTCCAAAGTTGTAAAGATCTCAGATCAGGTATGTGAAGCATCTGACACACGGCACCGTATAGACTTTTTCACGTTGTAGTACTGCTATACAAAAATTCGTTGCAGTAATGACACGGAGGAGGAGGAGAGTGTTCAAGGACTGGACGAATCAGTTCAGTTCCGCAAATGTCTGTTGGGTGCCTACTTAAGTACCATCTCAGAAGCTGGGCGAACACATAAAATGACTAAGGAAGCTCAACCCCCCAGAAACCGTATATTGGGACACAAGAGACAACTGCGGAGTTTTCAGGGTACATCTGTAGCTCCTTTCTCAACTCTACTTTAGAGTGCTGGTTTTCAAGAAGGCGATTTTATCTCCCAGGGGGTCAGTTTCGTCGGCTCGAACAGGGAGGAGAGGTGCTGCAGGCATCTAGTAGCTAGAGGCCACGGACGCTGCTAAACTACAGTGCACAAGACGGTCTCCTAAACCAATCATCCAGTCCAGAGAGCCCAGAACAGAAGCAGCTGCACAGCCTCCAGCCCACCGACCCCTAAAGACAGAGGAGACGACTTCCGGCAGGGGGGGACCAAGTCCGCTTCCGGAGGAGAAGCTGGCCCCGCCCAGGCCGCAGCCCCTCCGGGAGGCCGCTGCCTTCCCCGCTCGCTCCCCCGCGCCCTCCCTCCAACTCCCAGGTGCCAGGACCGGGCGGGGGTGGGGGCACCGACCCACTGCCGGGACAGCGGCCCACGTCAGTGTCTCTCACTCACTATTTCTCTGCTTTGGCGAGGTGCTCCAGCCCCTCATTTATCTTCTGAGCCGCCATCTCGAAGGTCCGGGCCCTGACGTGGAGGGCGAGAGCCCGGCTGAGGAGGCGTGGGAACGCCGAGGGGAAAGCCGGGACGACGCGGCAGCCCGGCTGCTACAGGGGCCTGTAGGGCTCAAACCTAATGCGGCAAAGCAGGCTGGGGGCGGGGCGTTTAGAGGCAGCGCAGGCACACAACGCGCAGGCGCAGAGTGCCAGGTTTCGCGTGAGCCTTGCGCTTCTAGCGCAGGCGCCGTGGGCAATGACGGTGGTTGTTTCATTCCGGCGTTCGTTCGATGATTATTTACTGAACATCTAATATGTGCCGGGCACTGTTCCAAGCACCGGGAAATCAGCAGGAGGTACAACAGACAAAAACCCCCGCCCTCGCGGAGCCTTGCTTTTCTCTTCATGTGAAAATACGTTGGTGCTATAATTTACTACATTTGTCCCATGACTGCAAGAGTATTCATTCACTCATCCTGCCTTTTGAGCGCCAACTATACGTCAGTCAATAAGCAAAACAGACTGTCCGTCCTGGTTACTGTCAAATAATCACCCAGCCGCTACAAACTACGGTGAGCGCTCTGAATGAAACGGAGTTAGGATCGCTTGCAATGTTCAAGCAGAAATAATAGCCAGTAACACCCTTGGCTCAATTGCTAGCTCACGGTGATTTCAATATCCACAAAGACGATTCCTGCAATGCCTAGGCAGCCTCTCAGTTTCTAACCCCACCAACTCATCCACCCATTCCCAGGATCATACTCTTGACCTTACTAATTACTCGTAACTGCGTACTTAACCTCCACTTAACCTCCTCCTGCCATTCCACATCACCTTTTCTCGTGCCAGGAATTTTTCACCTTCAACAGAACGCTCACCTTTTCCTATCCTTCTACTCTTATGCATTTCCCCCTCTTTACCCAGCGTAGATTCTGTGTTCTATCATTTTAGCTACTCTTTGGTAACTAAACCTCAACCTCCGTGGCCGTCCCTTTCTCCTCTCTCCTTGTCTAGAAAACCCCCAACTCTCTACCTACTCTGGAACTGCTCTTGAGCAAGGAAATGTGGCTGGAGAAAAAAAAAAAAAACAAAGCAGCTTGCCAACATTACTCATTCTAATGATCATAAGCATCAAGGAGATCTTTGGTGCTGCTAAGCAATTGTTCTTTATTTTCCTGCCAAATTACTCACCCACTCACTTGGATGGCTGTTGACACCCTCTTTCTCCTCAAAATTCCAGCACAATCGTCCTGCCTGCCTGCCTGCCAACTCTTAACTTCTTGTGTAATAGGAAATAGCAATTGAAGAGAGATCTTGCATTTGGCCTCATCAGCCCATCTACCAATTATCTGTATCAGTTCCCGAATAGTCCGCCTTTTCTCCAGTGAACCCCTCTCATCTATCCTCACTTCCTTACTTAGTTTCTTGGGTATAAGTACCACCCACACATGAGGCTTCCCGCCATCATCCCATTATCTAGTCTGGGCTTCCCTATATGAAGGCACAGCATTCCAAGGGGGGGCGGAAGTGGAAATCTAGGCCTTCTGGGAGCAACTCAAAATCACCTCTGCAGCTTTCATTGGTTAAAGCAAGTCACAAGGCAAGTCCAGATTCAAAAGGTGGGGAAATAAAGGAGCTGCAAAATATTGTGACCTTGACTTCCAGTTCACCACAGCTCTGGAATGACTGGTTCAGCATAAGAGAACTGGGGCCTTTATCAGAAAACAGGAAAGTCTTACATTTTTAAGGGAAATTAGACTTAACATCCACCCAGCATTATCAACCTCTAAAACCATTTGACTGTCCCAGAAGTTTTTCTGCACCAAAAGGCTTCTCCTCATTCTCCCTTGTTCACACATTCAATTATTAAACATTTTCTGAGCACCCACTCTGCACAAGGCACCGTGCCCACACCCACAGGATACAACTGTAAGCAAGGGAACATAGGGGAGAAAGAAATATCTTCCTCTACCCAACTTAGAGTCTCCAACTGGGGCACTGTCAATTAGGCTGGAAAGACAGATCAACAGGAGGAAAGCATACAGATCTGCTTGATGGAAGTTTCACAGGACACAAGAGCCTTCCCAAGGAAATGAAGACGTGCAAAAGTGGGTAAACCTGAATGTGATGCTAGAGTCGATGAAGGACAGGAAAGTTGCGGGAAAACGTAATAGGACAAAGGGTATGAGTGAAGGGTAGTAACCAGAGGGAGGCTTAGCAAGGACTAATCATTCAGGGTCCCCTCAGCATCCCTGCATCTTCTGAGATAAGGAAGGTCCTCTTTTCCAGGTATAAGGAGGGCACATCTCATAGGAGGGCTGATGGGTTCAGGACATGATCCTCAAAATATGTCACCTTGGCGTATTGAATGTTTTAAGCTGAGGAAGTTTGAGAAAACAGTACAAGCAGGAAGATCACTCTGAATTCCTCTGCCCACCGCCCTTCTGCTCTGAAAACAGGTCATAAAACCCTCACGTGAGAGCTGCCTCCCTACACCTGGAGGAAAACACCATCCTTATCTCCAAAGACGGAGGAGAAGAAGCTGAACAAACAGGCTTTGCTAAGCGTCCGCCACTTTAATACCCTTATTTCTGCTCCTTAACCTGTCATATTTCCACTCTTCACTGAACCTAGGATAAAAGTACACAGGTCTGGATCTTGGGGTCTTTGTTTCCTTATGAAGGCTCCCATGCCATGTAAAACTTACATGAAATATACCTGTAGGCTTTTCTCCTGTTAATCTTTGTCTGTTTAATTTGCAGACCCAGCCAGAGATTCCAAGAGAGCTGAGAAAAACTTTTCCCTCTCCTGCAGGGTCTTATGACCTGCTCTGGCAGAGAAGGGCGAGGTCAGAGAGACATCCTGCACCTGCTGTTTCTCGAATTTCTTCATCTTAAAGTTTTCACTAAGCCAAGGTGCCATATTTAGGGGTAGCCTGTTCTAAACCCTATCAAGACATAATGCCTGCCCACATGGAACTTGTGGTCTATGAGAGGACACAAATATTAAACCTACTTTTGTTAAGTAGCAACAAAGAATGGAAAAAAGAAAGAAGGCTAGGACATCCCCATGGCATCTGAGGGTTCTATGTTCCCAAAGACCTTTGACTAGGGAAGGTGTGTAAGTACATGCTAACTCTCCTTCACAGGAAAGGGAGCAAGAGCAGGGAGAACAGGGACAGTAAATGGGGGTACACAAATATTCTACCTTCTTCTCCGCCCCCCCCCCCCGCCTCCACCAATCCTTTCCTACATTAGGGTTGAAATAGGGCTTGAGGGAGGGATATTAGGGAAGCCAGCTTGGGTGAGGCAAAAAATGAAAAGATTGGACCAACTGAGGAAAGGCGAAAGAGTGTAGTCTCTCAAGCTAAATCTGGTGGTATACCCCATGAAAATAATTCTTGATATCACAGCAGCTGCTTCCAGCACCCAAGCAAAGGTTGCCATCGTGGCTTTTGCCTTCGACTCACCTGCTGCCTCGCCTCCTTCCGGGGCATCTCTCACCTCCTCTCCTGAACCCCTTCAGATGCTCAATGTCCCTTGGTGGCGCCCGGGTGGCTCAGTCGGTTAAGCGGCCGACTTCGGCTCAGGTCATGATCTCGTGGTCCGTGAGTTCAAGCCCCGCATCAGGCTCTGTGCTGACAGCTCAGAGCCTGGAGCCTGTTTCAGATTCTGTGTCTCCCTCTCTCTCTGACCCTCCCCTGTTCATGCTCTGTCTCTCCCTGTCTCAAAAATAAATAGAACGTTAAAAAAAAAAAATTTCAGATGCTCAATGTCCCACTCATTCCCCAGGCTGGCTGCTGGTTCAAGTGACACCATCAAATTCATCCTTTCCTCTTATTCTAAAAATTCCTTCTTTATCTTGCCTCCACAAAAATTTACCTTCCCACATGCTGTCCTGGTTTTGGATCTGACTACAGTGATTTCCGTCAAAGGGTGAACAAGGCTGAGGTAGAGCTTGTTACCCCCGGCTCTCTAATGGCGGGCTGCGGTCTTGGGCTGTGGTCTTGGGAGAGTTCTTCATGCCCATGCCCGGATCCCCGGGCTCCTCATGTGCACAAACCTCCCTCCCCTCGTCTCCTCTGCTGCCAGAAAGCAAGATTCTTGGACCCACCTTCCTCAGCTGAATGTTCAGGGAAATGAAGTGTCTTTGTCACTGCTTGGGAGAGAGGTTGGTTGGTTGATGAACTCTGACTATTTTGACTCAAAAACCCACACTTTTGGGGCACCTGGGTGGCTCAGTCGGTTGGGCGACCGACTTCAGCTCAGGTCATGATCTCACGGTTTGTGAGTTCAAGCCCCGCATCGGGCTCTGTGCTGACAGCTCAGAGCCTGGAGCCTGCTTTGGATTCTGTGTCTCTCTCTCTCTCTGCCCCTCCCCCACTCATGCTCTGTGTCTCTCCGCCTCGGAAATAAATAAACATTAAAAAAAATTAAAAAAAGAAAAATAAGAAACCCACACTTTTAGTCCTCAGCATTGCCCTACGTTCCCCCCAGACCATCTGTTATCTCCCTACCTGATGTCATTTTCTTGTTTTATGAAGATTTTTGTTTATTGCTCATCTCTCCTGGTGGAAGTTAAGACTTGTGTGGCTGGCTTTCTTTGTACTGTCTGTTTGCTGGTGTTTAGAACAATGCCTGACCCTTAAGAGGCACACAATGTGCACACCTGGGGTTAACTGGTGAATTGTTCCCTGTCCCTCTGGCCGCAGGGCCTCCATCTGGCATTGTCTGAGGGTTTGCAGTATCTGTCTTTGCCCTTCACCTGTGAGCTTTGGGGGACAGGGCCCCTGACTTCTGCAGGACCCAGTACAGGGCTGCACGGAGAACAGAGCTCACTCAGCGCTCTTCTGCAATTCTCTCGTTCCTGCGGAAGAAGAGAAAGACGAGTTAGGACGTTTAGATGCTGCTTCCTCCAGAGCCTTGGTGTGGCTCCTCCCCGGGATGATTTCTAGATGGATTTATAGATAGGAAACTGTTGCAAGCATCATTGTTAATGCCTTAATATCTTCAGAAGAATTTCAGAAACAGAACAAGAGGGCAAGGGTGTG